CAGCTGATTCCTTCTTGTAGCTTTGATTCAGAGATACTGAACCAATTCCTGACACATGAGAGCAAGGTTTCACTTTCTGTCATCAGCTGATTTTTTATGTACAATAACTTTAATATTTTCAATGAAGACATGTAAAGTTTTACCTTCAAACTATGAATATTTTTTGAGTTTCAGGCCTTTAAAGTACATAAAAGAGGACATAAAGTTGATTTAGTTGCAGATTTTAACAGAAATATTTGTGTTTTTCAACTCTGAAAGTTTTCTGTGTGCATTTCTTGTATTTATGTAAGAATAATATTAGTAATAACTCAATATATATAAAAACAAATGGACCAAAAGTAGCATTAAAAATAACCAAAGGCTTTAATTAATTTATAAAAAATAATATAAATTAATTTTTTTGTTTTGAATTTGCATCTTTGTATCACTTTTCCAATTTATTTATTAATATTCTCACATATTTTTTTTCATTTGATGATTCATTTATTGTTAAATTTGCTCATTTAAATTGTGAAAACAACACAAAAGTAAATAAGTTTGGGGAAAATAAATAAATAAAAGTAAGAAAAAAAAAGTTGGAGAAACTTGTGAAGAAAAATGCGTAAAGAAATATTGAAAAAAATAAAACAGTTTGGGGCAATAAATAGGTTTAAAAATGTGAAGGGGAAATAATACAGAGAAATTAAATGGGAAATTAACCAAGAATATAAATTACACCAAGAATGAATACAAAGGCAAATACATACAGAAGTCATAATTCTAAATTATTAAAAGCCCGTGTATATTTTAAATGATACCCTTTGTGCATATAATATTGTGTTTATTAAGTCAAACATTCATTCCTTTATTTATTGTTGATTGTGGCAGCTTTGGTCTTCCATATTTCTGCGGTCATGAGGCTCATAAATGCAGGACACAGTTTTAAAAAGCATTAAATTTGGACCTGCTCCTTTAAAAGGATTCAGAGTATGAAGGTAAAACTGTGCACGTCTTCAAAAAATACACTAAAGTTATTCTGAGGACGTCAGATTTGGTTGATTTTATATAAAATACCGAAGTTTTAAAGTCAAAAAGTGAAGGAAGTGATGAGTTGTTCTGCCGACAGATCTGGTCAGAGATCGGTAAAGGCTACCTGGACGGCTCGCTGGAGAAGAGCTCCAGCCGGAAAGGACATTATGAGAAAGGTGAGTGTCGGGTTTTTGTCTTTATTTTTTCTGGCGTTTAGCTGCTTCACAGCTGCTGCGTGTTGACACTGTGAGCAGAAACAGGCTGGAAGCTTTGGAGGCTCAGATGTTGTCGAGGCCGACAGCCAGACAGAAACCCGTCCACTGTTGATCAGCAAACAGCCTCTGTTTGGGGCTTTGCTATTGATTTATCTGCCAAAAACAGTTGCTGCGCTCGGCATCAGGCGGAAATGAATTCAGGATTCTGTGTGAAGGGCTGGAGACGGGACGGAGCCCTGAAAGGCTCTGATGTTAACCCAACGTGAGTCAGTCAGTGAGCAGATCTAACAGAAAGGTGGATGAATATTTAAAAGCAACACAGATTATGAGTCATTATCTTCCATTACTTTTTAACTGAGTGTTTTCCTTCACACACATACGAACACGTCTTCACCTTAAACTGATGCAGAAAAACACAAACTGGTGCCAAAATTCACCAGAATGAAGGAAATGAAGCGTTTCATCGGCTTCTCAGTGTCGCTGCGTCGTCTCAGGTTTAGTCCTCAGTTTACTTATTTGTTATTTGGGACCCAAAACTATAAACTATAGAGTTTCAGACGCCTGAATTCTCCTCAAACGCAGCTTATAGCGTTGCACATATAACAACAACATATATCTCCTACCAGTGCAGCAGCATTTTACATGGAAACATTTAAACTCTACTGATGTTAGAGGCCTCAAAAAGTTGTAAAATGTCGACCAAACACTGTATTTTTAGCAGGAAATATGGAAACATCCATATAAATACACTTACAGGAGCTTTCTAAGGCGACAGTGCTGCCCTAGTTTGATTGTTTTGCATTTTTTCCCATTTTGAAGAACCAATAATTATTTATTATTGCCCTTTTTTTAAACAGTTTTGAGTCGTTCTGAATGAGATTCAAATCATTTTGGTCAAATTTTGAGCCACATTAGACAAAATCTGTGTCATTTTGGATTTGTTTGATTCATTCTGAGCACATTTCAAGTCACTATGGTCAGATTTTGAGCCATTTCAGACAAATTTGACTCATTTAGTCGAGGTCTCAACTTAAAATAGGAAAAAACTGGAACCTTTTTTTTGTCATGTTTGCTTCAAATCAAATTCTACTGATGCTTGAGG